ATAATGTTAAAATATATAGAGGTACAGCATTGGAAGTGAGAGAAAGATGAAAATAAAAAATAAAAGTAAAAATAAAAAACAAAAAAATAATACAAAGTACAAAATAGATACAAATACAAATACAAATGTCAGATAAGGTTATACAATTTGGTTATTTTAAGAAACTTTATGATTTTGACAGYATTTTCATGATYGGGTCCAAGTGCTTCATATATTACATGGTTTTATCTGGGAGTATTGTACCTACTATTGTCTATAATAAAACGTAGATATACAATATGCATACCCACTGTACAATATTTTGTTCCAGCAATGTAAATATGATGTTCTTTTGGAATATGTAACTTCAGAAATTGCGCTCCATATAAGTATGTTTAACATCTCAGTAATTGAAATTCTAYCGCAATGATGTCTTTCACAAAACATCTTATAAACTTAATTTATAAACATCCTTATTAGTTATTAATAACAGTTTAATAAAATAATACAACCACAATATGCATGCATTATTTATTCCTATATGAATCATTAATCTATTCGTATTTTGCTATAATATAATAAGATATATTACATKTTGTAACATGTTTGGAACTAACTGCTTAATTAATAATTACACGATCATATAATGGACATTAATTATTTATTATATAATATAAAAATATAATATACATACTACATAGGGACAAATAGGATCTAATATGTTTAAATAAATTCAACATACATTTTGAAAAAGTAATATTTTATAACATACTATGTGCAGTTGAAGTTAACAAAATATCTTAATTATTCATCGATTTGCATGACATAATGATGAAATTAATGCYGAGTCGTTTGACAATCTAGTAAAAACACATTYGAATTTAATATTTTCTGAGCTGATACAAATCATTTCAGACATTTGAGTAATATTAATTCAATTATATACACCAATTTTAAATGAAGATAATAGTTGTGTATAGTTGATTCAGAGTAGTTAAGAAACTGTTTGACAATTAGTTTATAAAGTTGAACAATATGATAAAAATAGATAGGCTGAGTGAACCATCTTTAATATTACATTCTTTAACACTACATTCTTATCGTTTTCTTTAAGAATATTTATCAAGATATTAGAAAATGGTAAAATAATTTTTCATAAAGTATGTCGATATATAGTTTTAATAAGTATTGAGAAGAAATGTTGTGTTTTATTTCATTGCATAATGTAAGACTCTGAGAAAATAAGTGACTATATAGCTAGGTACTATAGATTTCCTGTAGAGGGTATTCAATAGATTTTATTGATTTTTTAATGTCACCACTTGTTAAGTTATTCAGTGGACATGAGCATATAGGTATATTCAAACATTATAGTAAGTGAATTAAACTATAACATATATGTTATGAAATGAGGGCCATATAATCGGGGTTGGTAAATTGAGTCCCAAATGACCCTAACTCGGTAAATTGAGTCCCGGGGAAAAATAGGTAGTAGCGGTAAGTTGAGTTCCAGAAAAGATAAGGTAGTAGGTAATTTGAGTCCCAGGGAAAAACGATTTAWATRCAYTTAAAATTTAAAAATATRCACTATAAAATTGTTWTTTGTGATTTGTGGACATTCATTGACTGCATGTAAATGATTTTGAAAATAGCAACATGCATTTTTATTAATTATATAATTATTTTTTATGCAATCAAAATGCATGTTGCTATTTTCAAAACCATATACATGCAGTCAATGAATTGTTCACAAATCATCATAAATACAAATTTTATAGTGCACATTTTTAAATTTTAAATGCACATAAATTGTTTTTCCTTGGGACTCAAATTACCTACTARCCTACTGCCTTATTTTTTCCGGGATTCAACATACCTACTACCTATTTTTCCCCGGGACTCAATTTTCCGCTTTCAAAATGTACCAAACTTATCTCGGACTCAATTTACCTAGCCCCCATATAATAGAATTAAATAGCCACTGACAAATTGCTTAAGAAATTGAGATGCTAAATCATTATATATATAGATATATTATGTATACTGTATATAACAAGTATCAGGACACATTA